TATATCAAAATCTTCAGGGAACTGACTCAAATAGAGGAAGCATGTTTTCAATTGGTAAGGTAGTTCATGATAGCTTAAAGCCAATACCTCAGATAATCTTGCTTGCTCATGGCCTTTAGTTCTGGCCAAATATGACTTGATATTTCTGTTCACCATGTCCCACTCAATCAATGTCTCTTTTGTTGCCAAAAGCCCTCCAAGCCCAACAATGGCCAAAGGTAAACTGGCACAGCTTCCAACCATTTCCCTCCCTTGCTTCTCCTTATCTTCTTTGATTCTGAGCGCCACAAGAAGAAAAAGGAAAATTTTAAAAATTTGTTTCATGCACATAAACCCAAAGCATAGAGCATAATATTTTCCACCAATAATCATTAATTCCCTAAACAATCATGCTTCAAGAAGGTTAAACAACCAATAGAAGTTTATTTCATCGTATATGACACTGAGATTGACATCACCAGGTTCATAAAAGTTAAAACATGCATCTAAATAAAACATGCCAACAACACAGAAACTTAATTTTAATTGTCACAGGCATGTACTTAACATTCCTAATATTGAATTAATAACACATCCAATTTCAACCAATGGCCAAAGTAAGTGTAAGATTAGATTAAAGCAGTTTGCTTATTCCAGTTTATGTTGTCAGAAAAAGTAACAAAATTAGATCTGGAGATTAAAGAGCATCGTATATGACTGTCCACCTGAATTGCTTCTCCTTGGAAATCCCTTCCTTTGGAATAACTCCCAACTCTTTTCTTCATTCAAACAGTTTGGTTCATGAACAAATCCCTCTCGGTCAGCAACCAAAGCCACTTCTTTGTTGCGTGCTGTAAGCAGTATTTAGCTACCAGAAGCAGTTTCATTTGGAAAAGCAGCACTAAGAGTAGACCATGCCTCAGTGCTCCGAATATCATCAATCACAACCAAACACTTCTTTTCTTTCTGAACTTTATAAAGCTTCTTTGCCAAATCTTCATCTGTCATTCTTAAAATTTCGTCCCTCTCCTCCCTAGATGGAATGATGAGTTTCAGAAAAATCCGCTCGCAAATATCTCTTCTTTTGCACTGCTGAGGCACATATGCCCAAGCAAACCCTTCAAAGTGTCTCCTTATATCACCATGATGGTAAACAGCCTTTGCCATGGTAGTCTTTCCCAGACCACCCATACCACAGATAGATACAACTCTGCATTTCTCTTCATTCACCAGCTGTGTTATCAGTTGACTTATATCTTCATCAAACCCAACAATATACTCTTCAACAACATGGGAATAAGACCCACTGAGCTGCCTCTGCCTCTCAAATGCTAAGCTAGTTCCTTCTCCTTCTTTTCTTGCTGTTATTCCATAAGTTTGTAAGCTTCTGGTGAGATCAATTATTCGAGGTTTAATCTCATCAATTTTTGAAGCAAGGTTGTGAAGTGCTATGCCTTTGGTGATGAGATTATGGATTCTTCTTCCATTCCGAGGTGCGAATTTAAGCACAAAACTGTCAATAACATCCTCAATGTCATAAGCAGCATCTCTTATCTCTGAAACCCAATTCCGAACACTGTCATCCTCATCTTGCCTCTTGTCAGCATCTTTTAGAAAGCACTGTATCCGTTTTAGCTTGGTTTGCATCTGTTGGACCTGAGCCCGTACACTCCATAACAGTGTGGTTTCCTCAATCAGGAGGTTACCCAACCTCTCCACAAGAAAGGATACCACAGCATCAGCCATGAAATAATGCTTTGCTTCTTGAGTGAACACAGACAGGTACAATCTAACAAAACAGCAAAAACCCTCTTATTTTCTGAACAATAAATAAGGAAGCATTCAAAATTTCACAAAAAAAACAAAAACTCCTTGAATTTCACAAAGCCATAGGAGAAAAGTAAGCCTTCAATTACCTATCTTTCACAAAGCAAACTGCGCTTGAGTGCTTTCATCTTCAGGTGTTTTTTATATTTCCTCCAATATCAATGCCATCAGTTTTTACTTTGACTGCAAGGGCATCTTCTAAGAAGCTGGCAAGCATTGACATACAAGTAGTAGTGGGTGCAAAAGAGGGATTGCGATCACCCCAACACGGATTTCCACGTAGTATGTGCATTGAAAATTGCTTTCATACCAAATAGTAAAAGAGAAGAAACATGGAAACCTCTAAGAAACTTCCATTTCCTCGACTTTTCAGCAAGAAAGCAACTAGCAGGCCTAGGGACCTACCTACTTGGAAATTACCTGTATATTTCATGTAAGTAGAAGACAAAAGTTTGTGATTTCAGACAAAGTAACTTTAAAATAAAAGGAAAGTAAGACCGACATAATACAAATGCGATGCAGATTTGCCCTCCATCCCTGCTACATTTATTAGAAAGAAACCCACAACTCAATGTCTCTTCAAAATTTCTTCAAATTTCTCAAGAAAACATCAGTTGAAG